GGCCCCCGGCCATCACCGAGCGAGAGCGGGGCCGGGCAACGGCCAGCGCGCGCCCAAGAGGAGGAGGGAGGAGGAAGGCAGCGCTTACTTGCAGTCGTGCTTTTCGATTTCGAAGTGAGGGTTGAAGTTGAGGATGATCTTCTGGGTGGGCTCGGGGGCGTAGATGACCCACTCGCAGCTCTGGTGGGAGGGGTAGTCCTGCGGGTAGCCCGGCGAGGTGATGTACCCGGCGTCCTTGGAGTTCAGGCGGCCCCCGCACGGCTGAGCTGCGGAAACAGGGCAGGGGACAGCGGCTCGAGACGGGCCCCGGAGCTTAGTCCTGCAAAGATTTACCCACATGCTTAAATTCTTATTCCTGAGTAGTGCTTGTGAAACCATGGAATTTCTTTTATATGCATAATATTAAACATATATACAAATCTTTGCAGGAGCCAGGCTGTAACATTTAGTATGCAGTATATTAGTACGTATGTATCCAACTCAATTACAAGAAGTTTTAGATAAGTGGACAAACGTTATGCTGAACAACTGCCATAAAAGCCTTTTTTTAATGTTTAGGTTCGTAGTGAAGTGCAGCATGCCTGAGCGTATTATCTAGAGGAGTTCCACAGAGGATACGTAAGAGCAGCTCTTGATATCTGAAAACAAACCCTTATACTGTAGATGTTCCTCCTGTGAGGAATCTGCCTGTGCACAAGTCTCTGAAATGTGACGTGAAAAGATACAGTGCTGTTTTTTAAGTCTCTTGGTGTTCTTGGCTGTGTATTCAGAGAATCTGTGGAAATCACTGGCTCCATTTCTTAAATTTCTGTTAAAAAAAAAAAAAAAAACCAAAACAAACCAAAACCCAACACATCTGGTTTTGCTGCGCTGGAGAGCTTGCTCAACGCACAAACGTTTTTCAGACCCGCAGTTTCGCGCGAAGCTCCTCCCCGCTCGCCAAGGCCCGTTTCCCCGCACGCGCGCCGCGGGGCTCCAGAGACGGAGGCGCCCGCTGCCCGGG